CTTTTAAATTAAAATAGTTCTCCATCTGGACAGCACAACATTATCTGCATCTGCTCCAAGTCTTTGCACTGAAGAGCCAAACCTGTCATTGGTACTTAGGAGTCAGCTTCCATTCAGTTCAGTGAAGCTGCAATTCAGAGCAATTTCAACTTGCTGCATGCCTGTGGAGTCATATTTCATCTCTTTCTTCTTTTTTTTTTCCCTCTTTTTAAGTCTCTCAGTATCAAAATTTTTTCAAGGACAATGTTCTATTCATGGCCACTAGAGATAGTCTAATTTTGCCTGGAAGCTCTCCAAACATTTTTTTAATGACATTTCCCTTAGATGATGGCCTTACAGGATCTACTGCTTTATTCACAAGAGTGAGCAAGTTTTATGTACTTTTGACTGAATCTATGTATACAGCTTTTCAGAGAGGGGAGAAAACGCTAATGCCTCTCCCAAAATCGATTAGACAGTGCTCTGTTTATCGCGACAGAGAAGAAAAATAAGTGCATGTATTTTGCGATCTCATGATTTTGCTTTTATATTGACTATTCCCTATTGTAGTGTAGGGTAGTCAGAACTGAGAGTCTTAAAGGTTACAATATCACAAAAATATCAACATAACTGAGTATATCTAGGGGAGTTTAGGAGTAGTACTAGCACATTAACCTCAGTGGCAACCACTCTTAAGAACTCTGAGGTGGCCTTTGGATCAAGCCTTGGTCGTTCAAAACAACAGCAGTTCCCAAGTTCAGGAGATCAGTAAAGCAAATCCAGGCACTTAGTCCTGCCTGAGAACTACACTAGGATCTACTCAACGCATATATGGAGAATGAGTTATTTACCTTAGAATGATCGTAGAGGATCTACTCAACGCATATATGGAGAACGAGTTGCTTACCTTAGAATGATCATATTCTCAGAGACAACATTACATTTCAGATCGCATGAGCTGCTGTGTATCCCTACTTTTGGCAATCCTCAGCTATCATCAGCTTGAGAAGAAGCCAAAGGCGGGCTGAGGTCACACTGATCTTGTGCACGGAGTCTGAGGAAGTACAGTTGAACGCACAGCTCTAACAGACTGCGCCACTTCAAAACCCAGTCCTCAACACCTTGTCTGCTTATACAAGTACAGTGGGAGCTACATGGCCAACATCACGTCAGAGAGACCAATTTCTAGTTGGTAACTACTTTACCTACGGTTTTGATATTACAGGTATTAATTTATATGAGGCACTATATAGGCAAATGGATAACATTTTAGGAGTTAGAAGTGGAGGAACTCTCAATCAACCAACCTGGCAAGAAAATATATTCCCAAATTCACACTCAGACATTACCTATGATCTCACCAACAACTCTTCCAACAAATAATAACGATACAGCTGCAAAATAAGGTTACAGCATTAATCTCAATTAACAGGCCTTACTAATTTCTCAAATGCCACTTGCTCCTTTTGCAAGTCAGGGAGGGATAATTTTAGTGGTTACGGTCAACCATTGCAAATGTTTAAAAAATGGATTTAATGCTTTCACAAACATACAATTTTGGAGATCGCAGAGATTATTTTGAAGTCATGTGTAAATCAGGTATTGGCAGTACACGTTTTCCCGTGCTGTTTTGGTAGCGTGCCCTAGAAGGTCATCGTTGTGACTGCCTATGAAGTCAGTTTAACCCTTAGACTTTGCCAAAACTGTGAGTAAATAATTCGTCTTAATGCAATGGCTTTGTGAAGTAGTCAAAGCTAGACGAGCCAACCAAAGGTTCACATGGGTAAACAGCAGTCAGGCAGCGGAAAGGGTTATCAGCAGCAGCCTGAGCTAGATTCAAGCAGGTAGGCTTGAAAGCAAAAGGAAGAAAGCACTCTTCTCCTCTTCTTTCCCTTATCCCTCCCCCTTCCACACTGTCTGCAATAACTGCTATTTCCAGCACCTCTTTCGGGCAAGCCGAGAAGGGTCTTAAGACAGACATGACCAGGGGAAAAGTAGTATTTCTATACTATACTAGTATACTAGTAGTATTTCTATTCTATACTTCTATAATGTTCAGTCACAGGACTTGGGTGCCTACTTCATCTACCTAAACAGATTTAAACATACAAATAGCTGTGTACAGCAGTTACCAATACCACACAATTTTAAGTTAGACCTTTGACCTTTGCGTGTTTATTGTTTCTTTCTTTCTGCCACAAATCCTACACCATCACGTGGCAGCATCTGGCTGGGTTCCAGCCCTCCTCTCCCATTGGGTACAAAAGCATTTACTTGGCAGCTTCTGCTACTAGAAGGAGAAAAGAAAGAAAGGTGGACCACAGGAAAATCCCCAGATTTAGATCCAGCCATTGCATCTTCTTAAACTAGATCACCCTGGAAGTGGAACAAGAAGGAAACATGGTCGCCCTGTAGAACTGTTAGGTAATTTTTAGAGCCATTGGCATATCATCCTTACATATTTCCTTCCTCTCCTGAAATAGCACCCAGAAGTCTCTGGCCCTCTTTAGGTTTCCCTTCATTCCCTTCTGCCCCATGCGTACAGATCTCAGAGGAAGTCAAGCAAAGTTTTTCACTTCTACCTGCCCAATTTGTGTGAAATCCAGTCATTAACCTGCTGCTTCTCACTGTCTCTACAAGCAGCACTGTGAACACAGTAAGCATGCAAAATTCTCCATGATAAAAAGGATCTAGAAGACAGGAAGCAGATGAAAAAAATCCACAAACCAAAAAACTAGTACAACATCGGAACAGACCTCTTCAAAATTTGCAGCATCTGCACAAATGTATATAGGAATGGAGCCAGGGGTTATGATTAGGAGGTAGAGTCTGGCAGAAAGGTAAAGTATCTCCAATTACACAACAATGAGACAGCAATACAAAAGAAGCTTCATTTTAACTAAAAATCTGTGTACTGAGTTGACAGATCATAATATCAGGGTTTGTGATAGTCTGAAAGAAGTTGTTTGAACTCTTGTGCTCAGGTTTAAAAGATACCCCTTTGTGCACTTCCTTCCTAAAGGATACACCCAGGCTCCTCTTACTGTTGGCTAACAGAAACAACAGTACCTCCTAAGCGTTCATCTCATGTCCGGAAACTTCCTTGTACCTGCCATCCTTCTTTTTATTTTTACTAATTGAATATAAGTTTCTAACCACCATAGACTCAGTCCAGATCTACTGGATCACTTCAGAAATGAAAACAGATCAGCTATCAACAAGGCACACCACTAGCAGTAATACTTCCAGCAGGAAGCTAAACTAAATAGTCAAAATAGAGGTCGATAAAGCCCAAATACAAGTCTGCCACAACATTTATTGATGTCTTCAATCAGTAGAGAATAATGGTCTTTCCTGAAGCCTCTTAAAATGTCTGCAAGTTACTACAATAGGGAAAATGCCTACACTCAGGTCTAGTATCTTTGACAACATTAATAAATGTTCAGAATCACCTGACATATGTCAACTTAAGTAATTCAAATTAGAATAAACTGCTTCAAAGTCCATTATAGCAACCAGGTTTCTGTAACATCAGCTTGGCCATTGAGTCTATTATGGATTCAAACACTACTACTTTTCTTTGTCTACTACTGATTTGTAATGTTTTGAATATTAACTTTTAACAATAGATAATATACTACAGCCACAATACGTAAACTCCACATCAAACAACAACATAATCTCTATTACCTTTTAAAGCTGAAATACGTACGTTTGAACTGACTCCTCATAATACCAAAAGCACCTTTCGCAACTCGCTACAGAACCTGATCAACATCCAGGATTTGCTCTCATCCTGACCCTGTGCAGAGAAGTATGCTGCGAGGGGTTTTCTTCTACCAGGAAGTCAAGGTTTTCTGGGTATTTCAGAATACCCAGAAATGTGTTGCTATGTACACATCTAAGAGAAAAAAACAAAAAACAAAAAAACAAAGCCAGTAACTCCAATCTAAACTTAAAAACTGAGACAGATGTTAAGGCTGTGCAATTAATAACCGAAGAAAAATGAAAACACTCTGAAAGCATTCCTAACTTGGTTACTTCATACATACGGTACCAGTTTTGGCTTAGAATATAAACACTGCATTAATAAGGATGCATACATTTCTAGCTTAACATTACGCTTTTAAGCCTTTGAAATACAAATTTTTTACAGGGTAATTTTGAATCCTTCATGATATGACATGCAATCAAAATTAATTCATTATCTTTATATGCATCATTTAAGAAGTGTTTTAACGCTAGCTCATTTCAAATTAAAGCCTTCCGATAAATATTAGAATTCATTTGTAGGAAGAAGCAGTACAGTTTCACAAGTGGGTTTTATGACTTCTTTGTAGGCTCAAAAGTTGTTTACAGCCAATTTTTGAAGCATGCAGCTGGTGGAATCAGAACAGCGATAATTTAAGTAGTTGTCAATATGCTCATTCTTAAGCATTGACAAATTTTCAAAAGTCTTAATTCCTCCAAATTATACCATCCATATTTACGTATTACATGCCCACAGTAAAATTTCACTTTGAAACACAATATTTTCAAGAACGTTTCATATCACAGATTGCAAGCTCTCTTAAACGTCATGCATGATTTGGCCAACATTTTTCTGTACTTTTTTCTTGGTTAAAACTTCACAAAAAGATTCACATCTCAGATTTTGCCCGCAAGTGTACTAAAGACTATTTTTAAAAGTTTCTCAGCTTCAAATGCCGTATGTGTTTAATGAAACATTCAGAACAGGTGAGAGGTCAAAAGCTTTTGCATTAAGATTTGTCATTCAAAAAGTTTCACTTAAACAGAACTTTACTAAAGCAAAATGGATGACATAGTTCAGCTTTCTAGTATTTGCATGAGTTTTTCCACTTCTGTACTTGTATTCATGTACGCAAGCAGGACACAATCTCTGTGTAGAACATAAGAGTGAATGCAATTATAACCCATTCATTTTGTAGCCAAATCAGTGTTAATTAACCAAGCTAATGTGTGAAAGGCTAGATAAAAGTTGCACCTTATAAGCCAAAGCAGATGTTTTAACTTATAGTTTTAATATAGCAATCAAAGAAAATTCCAAATACTGTACAGTGAAGTGTAGTATAGTACACTATATACTGTTATAATACACTATTGTTACATTACAGATAAAAAAATCAAATATAATTAGTACAGCAATCACAAATAAAACAAACCAAACTGTGCTGAATAACAGCCAGTGCTGTGAAGATGGTATAATTTCTATGCTAATTTATTTTTATTTCAACATGTAAAGCACTTACTGTTTAAAAAGATTTGTTTTCTAAATATATACACTATCAATTCTTATTTATACATTTTAAATAGCATTCCCTCCTAAAAGTGCACTCTTTCATTTCTTGGCAATAATCCTCATTAAAAGTAAAATAATTCTGAAAATACCAATCACATTTCAACCTTTTATTGCTCAACCACAGGCGTAAGGGCTCAGAGGGAATCCTGCATTCTACAGATCTTAAGCAACTCCTTCAATTTTAAGAGGGTAAACTGATATCCACAAGCAAAACAAAGAAACCACTTACTGTTATGTTTTTTAACAGAAGGATCAACTTCATACTATTATTTTACAAAAGCATGTAGATTCCACTGTTGGAAAAATGGGGGCCAAACAAGGAACATCTTCTTTAGTCATTCATTTTGACTACAGCTCAGGTGATGCAGAGCTCTCCCAGTTCTAAGCATATTATAAATTTTATGACCTGACATTTTCAGCACATTGGGGGGAAAAAAATAAAAAAAAAACAGGAGGGAACTCTGCTAACTTTGTAACACTGACAACAGCTTCTACTTTTAGAAAGATTTTAAATTAAGCACTTTGGTCTTGAAAATATGCCCGTGGTACAGGGTTGTTAGCATATAGCCTTGGGGCACTGTAATTCTGTGAAGCTGCTAGAGTATCCTCTTGGAGGCAATGTCTAAACAAGCCTGTTTCTATAAACATAGCCTTACCTAAATATAGCCTTGTAAAGGACTGTTTTATGTTTCTATTTGATATGTGGAAGTTTTAAAACCGTAGAACAACTAGACCACACAAATACGTAAAGTGAGGACCACCTTTAATTTCCCCAGTGATTAGATCTGAAGACCTTCTAGTTCCTATTTTCTATCTAGTAGAAGACCAGTAACTTTTAAGGGAGTCAGAAAAACCAACAATATACATCGATGTTTTGTGACTAGGAGAGTGAAGATGTCCCAAATATTTTTTATATTTGTAAAGCTGCTATCTCTTTTCATTCTCTGAAATTGAAACAAATCCCAGGGAACGAGCAGTATCAAAAAGATACTATACTCAGCCTTACTAATCAGGCAGCCGTTTTAAGCAGTTAAAATCTTGCATTTGGCTGAAAAACTGACTGTTCTCCTGAGGTTTCACATATACTTATTGACAATCTAGCTATTCACCCGTTCCTTCTCCTTTCTCTGCCTTGGGCCCCTATTTTCAGTAATCATCTCTCATTTAGGTTACATGCACTAAGCCATAGTGAAGTTTAGGATTTTCAAGGAATTTAAGTCTTCTTTGTCATGAGAACTGTGTAGAAGGTGGCAGGCACTCAGAAGAAATCAGAGCCACAGCCTAAGTCCACAGAGGCAATTCTGCAGCAAGTTGGTTTTCTTGAAAAAGGTATAGATCGCTCTTCACACCATTTGAGAAGTTAGAGGGGCTTCGCCTCCACGAGAGTCAACATCCTCCCTTTCCATGTACCCCGCCACCATTTTCCTGACTCCAACAGGGCAATCTAGCAAACACACGTGCGCTCGAAAGACAGGCACAGAGATCTACCTCAACTTACGTATGCGTCCATCGCTTGCAACCAAATGAAACATCTGCTCAAACTGACACTTCAGTGTTCTTTATTTCACTTCTCCTGTAGTTACACATCTCTCTGGCATGTAGATGAGGTTTATCACGTAAGAGTACCAAAAGCCACCTTTCTCCAAAAGAATTTTTTTTGTTAACATTTAAACACATGAGAAAGCTACGTGAAATAAGAACACTGCAAATAAATATGCACAATCCTGCATTACACCAGAGGTATTCATTTCAGCAGACCTTGTAATTTTGCCAGCATTTTACTATTCCTATTTCAGCCCATTTTGTTTTAGGAACTGGAGAGTTCTGATCTACATGATTTGAGTGGATCCCAGATAGGATACTAATGGGGAGTCAAAACACAGAGCTATTATCTGCATCTATTTCTATTTATATAAGGCAGAAAACATCAAATTACTGCTGGAATGGGAAGCATGCTAAAAATCGAACCAAGCCTTCCTCTTTACACAGTAAAAGGCACACAAAAAACTTCTGTCGTCTTCGCAGAAAGGCAAGAAAGAGGTAACTTTCCTCTCCTGGAGGAAGGAGGACGTGCAACAAATATTTCAATTTATTTCAAACTTAAACTTCTCTCATAGACACTGCCCATATTTGTTCAGCTGAGAAAGTCTTCTCCTTTTGCTAAAGAAAAGGTTAAAAATGTCTGAGCGATAGCTATCTTGTCTGAAATGCAAGAGACGCAGGTGATTCCTCCCTCTTTAGCCTCTGCTCACTTAAACGCCTTCCCAGGAACATGCCACCGCTAACTTTTCTAATACCTCATACTGTGACAAAGCACAAGCCTTCTACGCAAGATGTTATGTACAGAAGTAGCCTTCAGACAGCTAGACTGATGCATGGGAGACTAAATGCTTTCAGAAGTCATGGCAGGCCTCCAGCTGCTGCCTGTGCATCCTGCTGCTCCCCGACTAAGCGCTGCCAGTTAATCAGTGCATCAGCAAGGTCAGTTTCAGTGCGCCAAATTACTTCACGCCTTCCAAGCTTCCAAAGTGCTAACTCACAGGTTAGCAGTGGGAGGTGTTAAAGACTTCCATTTATTTGTGAAAAGGTGATTCTTATGTTCTACCCATAAGTAGCGTACTAAATCAGTAAATGTTTATTCCCGCTCCATAAAAAGTTATCCAGTAGAGGAATTTTAATTTTGCTTTGACGAAACGGGGGCTAATCTTTAAGTGACTTGCTTCAGTTAATTTTCCATACAAAAATAAATCCTCCCTCACGGGACGTTTTATCATACTAATGCTTAGAACTGTTTAAGTGATTAGAAATGTAAAAAGTGAGGAGACTTTTCTGAATACAAACATTTACAATACAAACAACATTTGTGAACTGATTAAAAATTCACATGTGCACAAACACAGACTTCAATATTTAAATGCTCTGAATTCCTTTGAAGCTGTATTAACAACTTTCATCCACTCAATGTTATTTTACCATTAGAGGAAGCAACAATAGTGCACTTAAAATATGACTATGAAGGTAGGAAGCAAAGTGCAATATCAGCTACACATTCCATCTTTAGGGAGCGAGCACAAGGGCTGCTCTTAAGAACTAGCACTGCACGTCTGATGAACACGCTACTTAAGTGGATACCAGCTATACTATAACGGAGGCAGAAAACCTGCTCACGAACTGAAGTGAAGCTAATAGTAGTGGGTAGTCTCACAGACACTGAAACAGCATATATTCCTTGTTTCCATGGAGTTAAAGAGTGAGTTTCCAAAAACCTGACCATCACTGAACCCTTTAGGATAATGTATGTTACAGAGCAATTTCCTTCCAATAAATGGTTAATCTGCTCTGAAGAGGACAGCTACTACGTAACTCTTGCCTTTACTGACCAATGCTAGTAATCAGTCTTCTAAAAAAAAGAAATGGATTTGCTATTGAACGCTTGTTTTTTCCTTCCACTTGCCAACTTCTCTCCTGTAGTTGTATTAAAAGTTGCACAACATCTGACCAGCTCAGTACTCTGCAGAAGATATAAACATGCTATCACTTACTAACAGAGCACCAAAATGGCTGTGTTGGCTTAGACAGCCATGCATAACCACACCACATTCACTTTATCTTCATCATACACTAAGTAGCCTTTTTTTCTAACTTGCTTAAACTGACAATATGCAGAAATTGGAGTTCACCAGTTACAGTCATTCCAAGATTTCTGACAAGCGCATACAGTTGTATGAATGAAAAAGTTTTTAAATCGGAGGAAGCGCCAGCACAACGTAATTAAAGTTTTTAAGATTTAGCGCATAGTTTAATTTGAGTTGCTTCAGGAAATTTATGTGTAATTCAAGTTTATAGTATACTTTTGAGTGGAATTAAGTATCTGGGACAGGTTTAACTTTGTCCTGTTTCTAGTTTTGCCTGTTCTAACCTTTCCAGTAACCTTGAACTAGCATGGTAAGAATCTCACATGGGCTTAATCTTAAGACTTTTATGGAATTACAAATTACAAAGAACTTTCAATAACCCACAGTTACAGCAGATATTCATCTCAGTGCATTTCCTAATAACTAATTTACAGGTAACAGAGCCAGCCTGGGCAGCAGTATGGTAATATTGAAAGCTATTGCCAATCACACACTTGCTTATCATGCACTGAATAAGATGATATAATCTTTGACATACATACAAGATTTAATAACTAATCACTTTGTGTGGCCCAGCCAATAAACATTACATTTGAACAGTAATTTCTTCTACCCTTATTAGATTTTAACCTATCAAGAGTGATCCATTGGCTCAGTTGCATTAGTGATTTCTGCATCTTGACTATCCATCTCCTCAAGCTCCTCAACAGAATTTCCCTTTTGTGCTTTAGACCTTGCGGAGAATGCTGTGCCCACAGAATTCACCATGTTACCATCAGTTGATTTGGTATTCAAGTGTTCAGTGCCACCTGGCACAGAAAACGATTCGGGTAACCCAGCCTGAAAGCTCCCAGTTTTAGCAGTTGAACTCACTGCCTCTACTTTTCTTTGAGATAGATCAACTGATGCTGACTGCTCTGTATTCTGATCCCGCAAGTGTCTATCCATGGAAGCCTGAATAGAAGAAACCATTTCCTGCAACTTTTTTCTCTGTGCCTCAATCAAAGTAGGGTCAAGCTGCCTGCTGTCTCTCATTGTCACGACTCCAGGAGCTATTCGGATAAGCTCACTGTTACCAGAAGCAGCTGTGAATATAGAAGGCTCAATCTTAGCAGAAGGACTGAAGTCCGTTTCTGTGCTATGCTTTCTTAAAAGTGGTGTTTCCCTGGCTCTTTGATCATGTTGTTGACTACTAGATGCAGTTCCTAGAGAATGGCCCTTTCCTTGAAATGCAGTTATGTTATGCAGTTGTTCAGATTTCTTTTTCACTACTCCACCACTACCCAGCTTCAGCATGCCGTGAGAAGGACTTGCTTCCCTGCTTCTTGAAGCAGCTTCTGTTCGTACTTGACTTAAGGCCTCTTTAACCAAGTCTTCAACGTCAGGACCAATAGGAAAGTGCCCAGCAGCATCCACACACAGCTCTAATCTATCTTCTGCTGCATTGTACACAAAGTTTTTACCAGGCAGATGTGGAAAAGTACAGTGCTTGCCATCAGCCAAACCTATAAAGATAGAGGAAGTTATTCAAAATGCCAACATATTTCAAGACATGCTTAGAATATACAATAATTACTGTCTTTAAATGTAGAGTATCAAATTTGCAGAAACATACACAGTGAAACTTTTTTACTGTGAAAGGGGAAAAAAAATATCAGGCTTTTATACCATATGATGCCAACTCAGTATACCCCTAAGGATTTGCCACCCTTTATGGTGATTCTAAGGAACACACAAGACTGCAGTATTACTAGATATAACACTCATCTTGCAATTCTAGCAAAACAGAAGTTAAAGGAAGAGTATATGCTCGCAGTAAGCCAGAGAAAACTAACCCTGCCTCTCCCCACCCCGCCCCAGTCAAAAAAAGAAAAGCACAGAACTGCCACCGAGTACGTTTCAAATAACAATATATCCGGAGAACTACTGTTTAAGACCACTTCCACACTGGTTAGAACTGTAGTAGGATTTTACTGTGAACAGTCACCATTAGACCTGAGAAATTTCAGAGCTGCTACTTATCTTCTTCTCAGAAGGAAAATGTTGCTGGAGAAACAAAACAGTGATTCAAGTTTATTATGCTTAGTGGTCCTAGGAGATTATACATATATAGTAATAATACAAAATATTCAACTTACAAAACAAACACAATGCATAATATTTTTGATCTGTTGTTTGTTTCATTGTCCCACTTCTGATTTGACAGAACTGCTAAAACTGAGAGTTTGCTAGGCAAATTTAAGTTCTGAAGCTGCTCTGTGGCAAAAGTGGGCCACATCTAGTTTTCCAGTTTATTGTAGTGAAATACAAAATAACTCCTTCAACTCTGCCCCGTACAGGCTGTGGTATAAGCGGTAAAATATTATTTCAGCAATGACAGCCTTCTGTGAGTTAAAAGCCAAATGCAGATGAAAACTCGGCTCCAACAACTCTTTTCCCTTCAGTTCTAGCAGCTATGCAATGAGAGCTACAAGAAACATAAAAATAAAAATAGGTAAATTCATAGGGTTTCCTCATATGCTGTCACAATTCTTGAAGAAAAATACCAGAAGTTATACTAAAGGGAAAAAATAATGACAATCAAACACTATTTCTATGTACCAAATGAAATCGAATCACAACAAATATACCAAGCATCAGTAAAGAGGTTATTCAGATAATCTGAGATGTTTAAACAGTTTTTACTCTGATGAACTAAGACTCTCCAATAAGTGATCAATCTGACTCATCTTCCATAGCTTCTGCTTCACACACTTCTACAGCGGCAGAGAATCTACACATGAGATTTTATTTTCACAAGAACTTCACACACTCAGCTTCTTTCTTTATATATTCATGGGAACTGATAATCAACCAGTTAAAATATACTACAGAATAAAATTTAACCCCAAACACTTACCTGTCTGACCAGTCCTGAAGAACTTAATTTTACTTACAAATTTTACCAACTCAAATTTCTCTTGTAAAACACAGAGCTGTAAGAGCCTCAATGACAAACCAATATTGTCTTTGAAAATGCAATCCTGTAATTCTGAAATCTCAAACAAGATCTACCACATCTATTTTCAAGTGATTAACGATACCTTGATAGAAAGCTTTGTTCCACATGACCAGGATATTTGCATTACATGAACTAAAATAATACAAATATGTAAAGAGCTTCTTTAACTGAAGAAAAAAAAAAAAAAAAGAAAAAACCACCCCACCTAAATCGTTGCACCCTGTAATTGCTTGACATGGAAGTTTGGTAGTTCATACAATTTAAAATCATAAAGTATGTTCAGGCTGAAATTGTAATTCTACCTACCAAGACACTGGTCATGTAAAGTACCTGTAGACAAGGGAATGCAGTAATGTTCAAACACAAAAGGTTATCTCCCATAGCCTTAGCCTTATGCTGTTAGTTGGAACAAGTGACTTTTAAGCCAGGCATTTTCTATGAGCTAATGTCCACCTGGACTAAAATCTCTTGGATTCATTTCAGGCTCTCAGCTCCAGCAAGTCATTAATCAGTCCAAAATGTCCTTTCCCATCAGGCGTTGTATATTGTTTGTGGCAAGTGAATTAGCTTAAACAAGTCTTTACTGTATAAGCATAGTAAATGAAAGAAACTAAAAGGAAACGTCTGCTACTTGTAGGCCAATTCTATTACCCAAGATAATAATTCAGAGAGAGGTAGTGGTCTTTAGAGTATCCCACATATTATCATTATAACGTATTCTACAAAAGGACATTGGGTTGCAAACAGAAATGATGTGATAAAATACCCATTTCTAGAAATCATCAAGGTTTAGCTAAAATTGATAAATCTACCTAAGAAGAAATCAAATAGTAAGAAAATAACAGAGCAAGCATTGTAGATGAAGCCACCAGAGCTACGTTACGAATGCAAAGACTTCAATAAGAAAACAAACTTTAAGTGAGAAAACAGAATAGTATCACTTCTCTACAGAAATCTACTGTTACTTCTTTGTACGTAATTTTTAAAGCAGTCTGAAAATCAAATATAGTTTAACTGCTTGTTTGATTTGTCAGCAGGTAGTCCGAGAAGAGGCATTTATTAAAACTACAAGAAAGGGATGGAGAGCATCGTTTTTTGAACAACAATCTTGGGTATATCAAAACAAATTTAATCAATCATTTAAATTTAAAAGATGCAGTACTCTACTATAACATACATACTAAGAAACACACTAGAAGCATGAACTTCAGTTAAGTGTTTTAAAGTATACATACATATATTTATATATATATATATAAAACAGGAATATATAAAAAACAGGAATAGGTCCTATGATTTTCACTTTGTTTTGCCTTTTCAGTAAAAAAAAAAAAAAAAATCATGTGATTTATAGAAGCTATTTGTATATGTCAGAAGTTTAAATGGAGATAAATAGCTGTAGAGAATATTTCGGAAAAAATATTTAAGTTCTAATCAATTAGTCTGATCGATTCTACTCAGAAGAGGCTCTGTGAGAACATGAGGAGTTGAACAGTACTATGAAAATGAAAAATATATCACGGTAATAAAATTATATATTTATGCTTGTGATAAAGGTGACTCAACAATAATTTACAATTTTAAAGATTCAAAAACAGAGAAAGGAAGGGAGGAAAAAAATACCTGTGGTTTTCTTCATTATGCTGTAGAATACTCCACCTTGCTGAAACAATTGCGGAAGCCCCTTTGCATAAGACCAAACATCTTCTCCTGTAAAAATCAAACACAATCATTAGAATTAAACGCTCCTAGTTTAACATTATAAACAATGGCTGAAAGTGTAATTCCTTAATTTAAAAGCTGAATTCTCACTGTCTTATATACACTTAAGAATTTAAATTCTTATTGAAAATTAACAGAACAGGAGCCCAGGCCTTTGAGGAACTTCCAGGACAACGTATCAAAGCCTGCAGTCAAATATCCTGTATGTTCTAGCACAAAGGTTCCCAAATTTGACTTGCTCCAAGCTGCAGCTCCTGGTTCTTTGCCAGGCTATACACACAAGACTCCGTTCCCCTATCACACACCTTCAAATTAAAACTAGGAAACGACTGCCACTCCTTCAATATTCAAGCACACATCCTCATACATTAAAATCTCCATTCTCTATCCCTACACCTTCCCACAAATTGGGTCTCTATTTCAGGTCCACACTCATCCCAGTGTTACCTGCTCTGCCCCTGCTCCTGCTCCAAACAAGAAGTCCAAATCTCAGAACTGACCACTTTCCCGCAGCAGAAACAGGGAACAGAACAGCATGGAAATGCAGGAGTAGATGCTATACTTAGTAGAAAGTCACTGCTGATTTTTAGAGGCTATGCCTATGAAGATAGATAGCCCACGGCTCAGATCGTTGCCTGTGCTGTCAGTTACTAGAAACCACGAGTTTCTAGTAATTACACAAGCGAGTAATTACACAAGCCCATCTCCACATAGGTACTGACTGGCTGCAGCACACGTACCTGCCATACAGCGGCTTTATCCTCTAGCTGAGATACCACTCAACGCAGGCAGCTGGGAAGGAGCTGCGTCTGCACCTTCTCGAGAGACTTAGAAAGGAAATACCAACTCCAGGACCCCAGTAGCCCTGTAAAACTGGTATTTTTCAAAGAGGCCAAAAACAGCATCAAAACGTGACATCTTTAAATGCTGCCGAGTGGGAAGAAAAACCCAGACTATGTCAAGAACAAACAGTAGAAACCCTGGGTTATGATGACAGGATGCCAGTGAGCTAACAGAGCATTTGCCAAATCAGTTAAGATCCCCATTTTTATTTCTCATCTTTTCCTCATTTTGCTAACCACTTACCTGCTTCATAGAAATGATATGTGATGTAGCTGACAAAAAGCGGTGAACAAAGAGTACCAGTAGTTCCAGCCTTCTGACATGGCAACAATTATTGGGTATATGAATTTTCCAAAAAAGTTGTTTTTCCTTCTTTGTATCTAACATTCAGGGGAAGTATTATGAGATTTTAAATAGAAAGTGTACCCTTCTTAGGCATTAAATCTCAACAGACATCTCTCTCAATTTTCTGTTAAGAATTTGAGAATGTAAATCAACTAAAAGAAGTAAGTTAACTGGATGCATTTACTACTTATAGAGATAGCTGGACTGTATGAATATTTCCTTGCTTCCTGTAAGAGCAAAATGAAAGTAAAAAGTTATTTTTAATAGCTTCCACAGACTGAATATACTGCACACCTAAGGCCTTGCTTGCATTTCTTTACTGCATATCTCATAAGGTACTTGCAGCTCCTGTCCTATCCCACCCACCCCAAGTGAGCTTTTCATGTGCTACCTCAAACTTTGAAAGCCTTTGCGCCATTCTCCAGCTTTCCTCTTTTTCCCTTCCCCAGCAGGCAAGGGCCTCCGCGCGCTCCCTGTTCTCCCATGCCCCCTGCCAGAGGGATTTTGCCCATCTACTCCAGGCTCATTCAAGCCCCCATTCTCTTTCTTCGTTAGAAGTCACGGCTAGCTTCAAATCTCTACGAAGCTCTTATTACATCTTCTGCCTCCCATTTTCTGTTGCCGTTATTCTCACCAACACCATCTGTCTGTCTTTGCCTTTCTGGCAGAGAAGTAATTCAGGGTAGATCTTTTACGATAGATGCTATTAATGGCAGCAAGTACTTTTTTCATGTATAATCAACCAGAGAGATGATATGCACAGTGAAGTGATATAAATGATGTAAAAGAATGACTGAAAAGGGCTCCATTTCCCTCCTTTTCATACTGGCTTCACCCAGTTTCTGTAATTTTCATCGGACTAACTGCCCACTAACATCTAAAACAGTTCCAAGAAACCAGGAACGGTTACATATAAACTCCAGAGGAATGCCAAAAAGCTGAGTTCAGAGCTTTGCCTTACTATCGCCAAGTGAAATCGCTTACATCAAAATAGTTTTTTCTTTCGTCTTTTTTTTTTCTTAAATAGTCAATCAGATCCTTACAAAGCCACAGTTCAACAACGCAAAGGATATTCAGCATGCAGTTCCTACTGTCACTCTCCTCATTTCAACCTGCATAGGAGCAAACAACTCATTCCGCTGTGCCTATAAAACCGGTTAAGGGGTGGGGTGGGGAACCAGATGAGAGAACTGAATCAGCTAAGGAAGAGCAAGAGGGCAGAAAGAGACTTAGTATTAAAATCTTTAACGCTAACACACCCAATGGACCTTTACAAAAAAAAAAAAACACACAAAATTATGCCTTGCTAAAGTGCAAATAATGCCCTTTTAAAAAATATTCCGTAACTGTGCTGCTAATTCTAACATTTTAAATACTCTCTTTACCACATATGCAAAACCTCAATGATCATAGGTTTTCTGAATTACTTAGAAAAATCTTTCAAGTTTCACTTTTGTTTTTCACCAAGTTCTATCCAGTTTCATTACCTTCTGCCTACATACTGGGCAAAATCTTGCCTAAATTGATAATACTGCAGGAAGCTTTCCACGAAAAAAACCTGCTTTTCCCATTTTTAATAAAGAGCATGATAATACTCATTTTGCTATTAGAATAAAGAGGATTTTACTATTTTTAAAGGCCTAGATTGCACGTAAAACAAAGTATCTTAACAGTAATCTATGAATCAACAACTAGTGCTATCAACATTGTAAATTGTATAGTTTAATGACAGTAAGGGAGGGCATAAAAGAAAACACTCCCCATCAGCTGGCCCAGGTAAGAAGTTATTAAATCAAGATGAAAGATACTTCTGCCCTCCTGCCTTTCTGCAGCTTAAATTTAAAGTAGATAAATGCTATACAACTACTTTAACAAACAATTATACATTTTAAGAAAATTAGGTCACTTCAATTATTTTGTGAAGTTATATCTAATTATTTTAATTATCCTGTAGGTATCCGAACAGCTGGAAGAAAAACATATTGGTTCATTTCTCTGGCTTTTTTGACTACATAAGCTAAAACTAAAGAGCTAAGCAGTACCTCACTTAGGAAGCAGCTAAAAAAATACATACTTCTTCTACAGAAATCCCTCTTGCCTTTTCAAATTTTTTTTTTTTAAATATCATGCCTTTTCCAGACTTACTTTTCTTTTCTGTAAGGAAGAGTGCATTTTCATCATCCGTTCTGCCTTTAGACATTCTAAACAGAGACCACCTACATAATCTGATTCATTTTAAAGATTATCCCATTAAAACATACACGTTTTGGTTCCTTCCATTCACTCGCACACAGAGTTCACAAAATTGGCCAGGGACCAAAAGGACAGACAGTTCTGGTCAACAGAAGTCCACTTTCTAGGAAGAACGCCCAGGTAACAAACCACCTACTCTTCTTCCTTGTTTTCTGTGACCGACTGAAGAAAGAAGTCTTGTCTTTTGACTTAATCCTGACAACCTCCATCTAGTAACTTGCTAATAAATCTGAAGCTCCCCTCCAGCTCTCACTGACCCCACTTCAACAAAAAAAATACTGTTCTCTCTTCCTCCCCACCGTTGCCACAACCCTCCTTCTTTTTCGAACAGCTGCAGGCAGGGAGGGAAATCGCTGCTGATAATACGCTTTCTCCTGTTATTGCTCATTCCTAAGGGGTTCAATGCTACCCCAGAATTTACATTCTGAAATACGCATCTCCCTACACACCGGCTCCAGAGCATCGTTGCTGTTGCTCTTCATTTTCCCCAAAGCAGCAGCAAGCTGGAGTCTCCCTGATGGTTTTAATACTGTCCACAAGAATCAAAATAACCACTACACTGATAACCAAGAAATATAGCCTGCAGTCTGCGGAAACTTGGGGAAGCCACAGCCAGCAGCCATGCAGTGGCCGACTCTTTTTCCAGACTCCTACAGCGCGGCATTTAAGAGTCCATTCATTTTTGAAGGGTTCCCTTCCCTCCCACAACAGGGGCATCAGGCTTTCAGTAAAAACCCAGTTTTACAGATTAATGCCATTCTTCACAGAAAGATTCCCTATTTGCTCCAGGCATGACTTCTCAAGCCCTGCACCAGAGAAGCATCTCTGTTTAGACAGCCTTTTACGCAACACTAACAAGGACTACATGGTAACAGAAAAGTGTGAGAGAAGGGCTTACAAAACAAAGGCATCAGCCACTGAAAGAAACACAAACCATGCTGTTTTGATAAAGAGGTCTCAGCCTGGGACACCAGAGGAAAAACAATTGCAATTGGGCATTCCCAGACCAGAATAGCCGGCGTGCGAGATTCAGCTAAACTGTGTTTGAGGTTTACGCACTTTTGTTGCTACCTGGGGTTTATTGTTTGTTTTGTTTTCCTAGGACAGGAATAATACATTTACAGGTCACAAGTTAATTTACGTGATTATTCAGTCAGATTTAAAACTTCTCTTTGATTATGTGGAGTGTCTGGAGGGAGAGGTTCGCCATGCTATTTCCACCACAATGCAGGCAGACCAGACTTCAGCATGGCAAGATCAAGTATGGCAAGAAACAAAGAGCATCCTACCACAAGCATGCCTCGTACACTGCTGAAAAAGAGCAGGTGCAGAATAACCTACGCCAGCGAAAGCCAGAGACTGTCACTTCATAAATCAGAAAGGACACACAGGAGTGCAAATCAAATCGAAAGCTCAGCTGAAACACAGGGTACATTGAACTACAGTTGGCTTAAAAACAAGGTGTTCAAATCCAAGCAAACCCTAGCATCAAGTAATACATTTCATTTGAACCTGGCTATTTTGATTTCATTGGCACTGACAAATTCACTGACGCAAAACAAACTGATTAGAATAGGTTCACACTTGGCTTGCAAATAGCCAAAGTGGCTTTGCATCGGTGTCACTAAGTCACTTTAAAAAGATAACGTTTTAACTACGTTAATGTACAATTAATTTTTTTTTGGCCATTTCCTTATATAATCCTGTATTTTTGAGCAAAACAAAGGGACAAAACTTTATGAAAGTTACACATAATATGTAAAGCAGTCCAAAAATTACACTACCTGATTCCACAAGGCTTACTTAAGTTACGCACATAAAAATCAAAGAACATGGTATAAAACGTTAATGAGCCAACTTACTGAGATCACCAGAAAAGAGCAATTCTAGTAAGTGAAATAGGAAAGGAGCGTAAGTTCAACCTGCAGGAGCCCCTGCGTGAAAGAAAAGCTTTCGAGGCATCCAGAATCAACAGCCATAGATCTTCCAAAACAAACTGTCACTATGGACATTAAAAAAAATAAAAAAAACTTGTCTAGTCCAGAGAGCATCTTTCCTCCACGTGTTCTACTATTGTTAACAGAAGCTATAAAGTTACAGCAAGTGAGTGCAGGGTAAGAGGCAGGCAGACCGAAAACTTTGAAACTCTACTTTTGAACAGTACAAAAACACGGTTAAGAAACTCCAAGGCTTCTTTAAGGCTAAACGTACCACCTCGAGGCACTGCCATCCCAACAGTCTTAAGTTTTCAACAGCCTCCAGGGAAAGTGCAAAGACTGAATAAGTGTCTTACAGTTGTTATTTATCAACGGAGAAACAAATTGTTAAGTAGTTAACCGCCTAGATTTTTTTCCACAAGTATCTTTAAAGGAAAACATAGCCCTGATGAGAAGAGTGACTACCCAAAAAATAGCATCTTACTCAGTAGCGGCATAATTTGTTATAACCGGTTAGTTTAGCAATTGCCGCCACTTTTACTTCTATTAGTAATGCAAAATAGGTACAGTCAGAGAAGGGTGAGGCAAATTCTACTCTAACACCTGTGCTTCAAAAGCAGAGTCTAACAACAATGAGAGTCAAAAACAGAAATTGATTCTTGAATATCAGATCAGCTCAAGGTTTATAAATACTTGAAAAAATTAGAAACCTGAATGTTGAAATCACTAAAACACTTTTAAATCACTTCAGAGTTTTCCCGTGAACCAGTAACTGTATTTTCAAG